TCCAATGTTGTTCCATTCCATTTATTTCTTCTCCTCCTCTTCCTCTTCTTCTTCTTCTTTTTCTTCCTTTTCTTCTTCTTCTCCTTCTTCTTCTTCCTCCTATTCTTCTTCTTCTTCTTCTTCTTCTTCTTTTTTTTTTTTCTTCTTCCTCTTCTTCCTCTTCCTTTTCGTCTGTAGGCTAGATAGCTACAAGTTCTCCGCAGCAATCGGGGCTGACTAGTGATGACTAGGTCTAGTGTGAATCTAGGACCTCGAGTGAATCTCTCTCTCTCTCTCTCTCTCTCTCTCTCTCTCTCTCTCTCTCTCTCTCTCCCTCTCTCTCTCTCTCTCTCTCTCTCTCTCTCCCCCCCCCTCTCTCTCTCTCTCTCTCTCCCCCTCTCTCTCTCTCTTACTGTAGGGTAGTAAATGGGGTATACGCATCCACATGTATACATGGATTAGTCTGTTCGATTGATAATAACATGAATACGTTTTAATACACGGTTCATTTTCGTTTGTGATTTCTTTTGTTGTGAAAACAATTAATTGAATTCTTTAGTATTGGTGTCGCTGTTGCTTGTTAATGACGATCTGAGTGAATGTTTTTCCTTGATTTCCTGCCAATTGCAATATCGATAGTAATACACTATTGGGTCCTATGCCATAGGAAGCATGATGGAATAGAGGAGATGTATGAATTGTGTAAATTCCCTTGGGGTTTTGCCTTGTATGGCAATGACGGGTTGGAGCATGTACTTATTATGTGTTGAGGCGTCTGGAACATGTGTTTTCACAAATATCATATCATTCATAACCTTCGAGGGTAGTCCTCGTTGGAGTTCCTCTCATGGCTTGTACCCATGACCACTCGTTCGTAGCTCACAAATGAAGGTGTTTCTTCTCCCCTTAATGTGAAGTGTCCTCATATATTCTCATGTCTCTCTCAATTTGTAATCATTCTTGCATGGCGGACTTACACCTATGTATGTATTGATTTGCTATGCCAGGATTTTGTATCTCCCCATGCGTTGTGGATCCCCGATCTCGTGACCGGTGATAAAGCATGGTTATCCCGATTTCACCCTCCCTCCCACCCTGCCCAAACACTGATTGCCTTCGCACAAAAGCAAGTAGTAGCAGAGGTCAGGGAAAGATTTGTGAACATGGAAATTGATTCCCTCCCCCTGATTGATTGTCTAACCTTCAATGATTGGGCGGAGCTCATTTATACTTACCGACATAAAAGGGGAGATTTTATCGACACTATCAATAAAATGGCGAGCAGCATAGCAGAGGGGAGAAATCAGATGGAGAAGGGGGATATGACGATTAATGCTTCCACAATTGAGGCAGAGACGAAATTCATTAAACTATGGGTTGTTGATTCGCTGTTGCACAAGGAGAAGGAAATATAGAAGGTGGTGATTGAGGATAAAGAAGCATTGGAGGATGATGGGGATGAACTCATAGAGGAAGAGAAGGAATATTTGAGAAAGACGGATGTGGAAATTGTGAGGACAAAGGCCACGATTGAGTTAGGAAAGAAGGACCACAAGGCCTTTAAGGAATGTGTCAAATTGCTTCTTTTGGCCAAGTATGTAAAGAAGAGGGCCAAGACATCAGAAGGAGCGTCGTCCTCTGGGGCAAAGAGGACCAGAGGGGAAGGACAGGGGACCTTAGATAGGTTTGTTAATTCCACCCCACCTTCCAACCGGATCAACATCCCCGATGATTAAACCTCCCCCGATTCGACTGTTACCTCGGTCACGGAAAAGAGGGTGAGCCTCCCGGTGGAACTCAATGCTGGAAGTGGACGGACTCAGAGAAACGTTCAACGATCAATTTCCATCAAGTGAAAACGACGACACTCAGGAGAAACAATGTTTTCATTGTTTGCAAGTACGGAAAGGATTTCTGGAGAAGGGTCCGTCGGGTAGGATGAAATGGAAGACCTGCACGCAGGAGGAGAATGTTCCAAAGTGCTTTGTGCATATCCACTATGTTGGAAGGATACTGGAAGGTTTGAATGTAGCGAAAATCTTTGAATCAGTCTTGTCACGATTTGTCACCATATCAGTCCTAACGTTGTTTTTCAGCATACTATTTGACTGGACTTATGATGATCCAATCAAAAGGTTTGTATACAAACCAGCCAAATTCTTCAAACGATTCAATGTCAGGGACTGGTATGACGATCTAATGAAACGTCAGGTATGCCCATGCACACAAGACTCTAGAAAACAGTTTTTCCTCAGTAACGAAACCTGGGCTATGCCGCAACCTTACCCAGTACCAACTAAGAACATACTTACTTTAGACGTGAGGGTAGCAGGGGGTTCAACACTAACGAAGATCTTACAGAAAGGACTCAACCGTATCCTGCTGAAGCAAGCAAAGAAAGAGGAGGCAGTAGAAGCATTGATGAAAGCCTGGACCGATATGCTCGAAATAGAACATATAACTAACCTAGTGAGAAACCTCATACATAAGGAACTAGGCAATAATTTAAAAAGATTATGTCGGGTCATTACATTTCCAATATGTTAACGATGTTAAGCATCTCACTCGTAATTTTGTATGTAGCGGGCATAGACAGGGTGGCTGCAAACATCTGATACGTGTCTTGCCTCTCGAAAGATTGTTGAGCGCAGACTTCCAGTTTCCTAATCTTACCCTTGAACAAATGGTTAGTAAAGCATCGTCCTTATTGCATCGACACTTCCCACAACTAAAAATAAGCTCTAATAATCTACCCTACCTCATGGTCATCTTCAAATAACATAAGATGTCCTTCAGATGGTTAACAAACGCTTCAGACTCAATCCTCACAAGTGTCGCATCTTTGATTGACACGGCATGTACTAACCTCAAGGATATGGTTATGCAACACTGCAGCAACATTATGAACTCCGCGAAGTGATTCCACGACAAAGACTTCACATGCTGGTGGATCATTGATTGCGTACAAGATTACTATTACAGTCTGTCTGGTGAGATATATTTTATTTTCTCCGCTGACATAGCGAAATGTTTCGAGAATATCCCCAACAATAATTATAAGGATGGTTTAATGAATGTTGCCGATTTTTTGTGAAAATAGCATTCAGACAGATGAAGGAGACATCTAACTTTACTTGTTTAAAGTGCGTCTACAAAATAAATGGACAAATAAGTTGCTCCTTGGCGAAAACTCAATTACCACCAACTAATAATGCTTTCACTATTAATGCTGATGACATTATGGGTCTATGTAGATGGGTTTTGAGCAGATGGTACACTGTGTTTGGAAACTCGATATGAAAACAGGAAAGAGGCATTTCGATGGGCCTCCCTTGCTCACCCTCGATGCGCAATATCTATTTTTTTAAAATACGAGTATCAGTACATTCGGAGATTGTTGAGATTGGGAGCCATTGAATTTGCTGCAATCTTTAAGCACACCTTCAGGTATATTGATGATTTGCATGTAATTAATAACCAAACCAATCTGAAGTTTTTGGATCTGGAGCAACCAAGAACAATCGATAATCTTTTTTGGATCTACCCACTGCAGATCATTGAGATCAAGAATCAAACTAGCGAATTCACAATGGGGCCAGACAATATGATATATGGCACCATGTCACAGTTCCTGCACGTAGATATCCTCGTTATCCCAGATACTGAAGTGCGGTACGTGACCTTTAAGCACGATAAAACACGATCACTAACAGATGAACGAATAAGGTATGTAAGATTCGATTCCAACAGACCTATCCGACAGTCATTAAATATAATTATACCACAAACTGCAATGATCATGATAATATGTTTCAGTCCTACGGATGCGGTAAGGGAAATAAAAAAGTAGATTGATACTATGGTTGAGAACGGTTGCACGGAGCATAGATGTGTGAGTACAACATTTATGGTCCTTGACTACCCGCATCATTTTCAAGAATTCCGTTGTTGTAACAAGGAAACCAAACGGCTGTTAAAGGTAAGTGTTGCACTCCATAGCTATTAAAATGACAACTGTTTCGGATTTTTTTTTTCTTCTTCTTCTCCTTATCAACCGTGACAGTGTGTTGTGTCCTCTCTGTTCGAACACTCTGGATGAGTACGTACAAGAGGGATGCTAGGGGAATACCTGATCGAGAGGGCCAAGTATCTCCCCTAGTCCTCATCGTTAGTATTCCTCCACGGGGATCGGGGTGGGCCACACACACACACACACACACACACACAAATACAAGAATACAAGCATATATGAATATACATAAAACTAAGTAACCTCTACCAACCTTTGGCATTGGATAAAACAACGTCTAGAGGGATAAATGCACCATATGATATTAAGAAATTCCTAATTAATTAATTAAAATAGGATAAACGTATATATTTTTAATAAAAATAATAATGATAACAAGTCATTGGAAAAATAACATCTACAACGAGTAATCGGCTTACTGATAAAAAGAGAAAAAAGAACCCTACTTAAACCAGTTGGACATGTAGGTACAATGTGTCAGGTTACCATAGGACCACTTAGAAAAATGAGCGGGGTCGACGGCGGTGGATCGTGAAAAATCAGGAAATGGGCGACATACTTTCAATTCTTAATTTTTAATTTTCAATTGTCTGGGATTCACCGAACGCAATAAGTAAGAGACAGACAGTAATATATAGGGAGTAACGAGCAATAGTCTAAAATGCCTCGGCCAACGGAGCTAGTACGCCTATGCGCCTAGATTACTCATCTAAGCGCAAGAGCGTTCATGTTTTGTAGGCCCCAAATTTTATCGAAACTCTATGCGCATGGAGAGTAACTCGTCATTTTTCGTTGCAGTTCTGTTTTCTACGAAAATTTCCGCGGCCCCAATCAGGAGCTTGCCGAAGATCTCAATCGTCTTATCAGCCAAGCTCTTACTATCCTGCTCGTTCATCCCTCTGGGAGTAACAATCAGACTCACACCTATCCTGTCTGTCACATTTGGCACGCGGTCGCTTATCTGAGTAACCGGCATGGCAACACTATTCAGTTTTGATGAAATGCTCCACATGCATCTGGGGGATGAAGGAATCACGGAAGTACAAGAGGACGCTCCAGCGAAGGTGATTGTGTCGGCGAACAGAATCCCTCTCCCATCTCCTTCCTCCCTTTCCCCTCTCCGGTCTTCTCTCTCCCCTCTCCCCTCTTCCCTTTTCCCTCTCCCCTCTCTTCTCTCTTATCTCTCTGTTTAATGTTTTTTGGCAATACTTTGGCATTATTTCTCGTGCTAACAACTACTATTTTCCCTGATGAGCTAGTCCATTGGCATGACTAGTGAAAAGCATGTTTAAGGGAGAATGCCAACACCCTAGTCAAAGTTAACGACTGAAACTTTCACCTACCCTTCATGTGGTAAAATGATGTTTGTCGGTATTGACGAGAGAAACGTTTTTTTAAAAACTCGTCATTTACGATTACTTTTTCCTCACCTTCGATACCCTGTTTTTTTCTGCCCTTTTTTCAGGCGTTTTTTCTAACATTTTTTCTGTTGTTTTTTCTGCAGTTTTTTCTATCATCATATTCTGCCGTTTTGTTTGTCATTTCTTTCTTGCCGCTTTTCTTACCAATTTGTCTTCTGATGTTTGATGTTTGATGTTTGATGTTTGATGTTTGATGTTTGATGTTTGATGTTTGATGTTTGAGGTCTGATGTTTGATGCTTGATATGGGTTTGGGAAATATTCCGAATGATCTGTCTTTTCTGGCTTTTTTGTATTTTCGGTCTTTTCGGTCTTCTTTGTCTTTTTTTTGTCGTAGTTATCTTCTTTATCTTTCATATCTGTAAGTCGACGAGCTGGGTGAATGATCTGTGTATGCATGGGGGATGATTGAAATAGCTCATTTATGCAGGGACTGTACCCTCGAGGGGAGCGGATTGACATGCTTATGGCCTCAAGGCCTTGTGAATAACTGTTGACGAATGTTGCTTTTTGAATGCGGTGATTGAGACTTAACAAGAGTCGGTCCATTTGGAAAGGGGAGAGCGGATAGCAGGAAGGCGATGTGCGACCCAAAGAAAGGAGGGATGTTGCTGGGTTGCTCGTCATAGAGTAATATATGGCAGTAACGGATTGTGTTATGATGGGTAGGGTGTGGGAATTATGATAGGTGACATCATGAGGGAAATTTGCAAACAAATGCAGGGAAACTAATTGGCTCGTTACGGAACAACTCTTTCCGTAAGGAGAACCATGTCAGTTGAGGTCACTCTTCTTCGTCACTTGATGCATCTGTTCGATATAGGCTTCTATTTTTTCGGCCTGGCTTGTGTTCACGATTTTCGATTAACTAATAGGCACAGAGGACTACCTTACAGGCTAGTCTAATTCTATAACTTTGAGTTTTTCGTGGTTATCGTAGGTAAATTAATAAACGATTGCATTATAGATCTTTCAGATACTTATGATAAGTTGGCTACAGAGGATCCGATGTTGTTTTATTCCCTATATTTCTTCTCCTCCTCTTCCTCCGCTTCTTCTTCTTCTTCTTCTTCTTCTTCTTCACCTTTTTTTTTTTTAATTCTTCTTTTTCTTCTTTTTCTTCTTCTTCCTTCTCTTCTTCTTCTTCTTCTTCTCCTCTTTCTTCTTCTTCTTCTTCTTCTTCTTCTTCTTCTTCTTCTTCTTCTTCTTCTTCTTCTTCTTCTTCTTCTTCCTTTCCGTATGTAGGCTAAATAGCTACAAGTTCGCCGCAGCAATCGGGGCTGACCAGTGATGACTAGTTCTTCTGTGAATCTAGGATCTCAAGTGAATTTCTCTCTCTTTCTCTCTCTCTCTCTCCTCTCTCTCTCTCTCTCNCTCTCTCTCTCTCTCTCTCTCTCTCTCTCTCTCTCTCTCTCTCTCTCTCTCTCTCTCTCTCTCTCTCTCTCTCTCTCTCTCTCTAATTGTAGGGTAGTAAGTGGGGTATACTCATCCACGTGTATCTACGAATCCTCCTCAGCGGCGGCCATCCGCGGGAAAGTCTGCGGCTGCGGCCTAGGCCGCCACCCCGCGGACGTGTCTGCGGCCCGCGGCCATGTTTTTTTCTTGGAAAAAAAACAAACAAACAGCTTTTGCCTCAGGAAAATTAGTTTTTGAATTTTTAAAATTCAAAGACGATGTCAAAAAATAAAAATACAAATTGCGCGATTTAGATCTCAAAAAGATCTACAACTCCATTATTTTTGTTTGTATTTTTTATAAATTTTTAAGGTCACAAAAAATTCTTGAAAGTCGCGGCCGCACCCAACCGCGGCCGGAGCCTCGACGGCCGTGATCACGTCCGCCCTCAGAGCTTGACCCCGCGGACGCGTCCGCGGGTGTTTCGTAGACGTGTATACATGGATTAGATTGTTCGACTCGAAATAACATGGATACGTTTTAATACACGGTTCTTTTTCGTTTGTGATTTCTTTTATTGTGAAAATAATCGGTTGAATTCTTCAGTACTGGTCGCGTTGTTGCTTGTTTATGAAGATCTCTGTGAATGTTTTTCCTTGATTTCCTGTCTTTTGCAATATCAATAGTAATACACTATTGGACCCTATGCCATAGGAAGCGTGATGGGATAAAGGAGATGCATGGATTACGTGGATTCCCATGGGATTTTGCCCCGTGTGGCGACGACGAGTTGGAGAATGTACTTATTATGTGTTGAGGCATCTTGAATATGCGTTTTCACACACATCATCACTGTGTAACCGCGCGTTCATTGAACGCGGGTTTCGTGTTCAAGATTTGAACGCGTTGAACGTGCGTTCAATGAACGCGAGCAAACGCAGTGAACACATTTTCAACTACCTCCAAACGCCACAAGGGCAGTTGGGGTGGGGGGAAAAGGGGAAGGTTGGCAAAGGTGGGTTGAAAGGTGGGTCGTGGAGGCGAGGGAAGGGTCACAGGCACCCCCGTATTCCTTGGGGGGGGGGGGGAAGAAAACAAAAAAGACAAAAAACATAAAAAGCTTAATATACATGCGCGCGACTGTGTGTGTGTGGGTATGGGTGTGTATGTGTGTGCCCGCATGCAACACGCATACACAAATTTACGGATTTGCGCTTGCATGGGGGGGCACACACACACACACACACACACACACACACACACACACACACACACACACACTCACTCACTGTAGATGAGCCGATGAACGTCCGACGAAAGAGTCTGGCACAACCATGGTTTTTTTAAGTGCATAATGAAAATAAAACACACACACACGCACACACGCACACACGATAAATTCAATCAATCGATTGAGTCGATTGATTCAACTGATTCGGTTCAATCAGTCAGTTCGATTGTATGTGTGCGCGCGCGCGCGCGTGTGTGTGTGTGTGTGTGTGTGTGTGTGTGTGTGTGTGTGTGTGTGTGTGTGTGTGTGTGTG